TACATCTATCAGTAAAAACACACACATGCACATACACACACATGCAGACACTAACAACACAGTACACGTACACCAACACATACCCACATCAACAGGCGGACTATCAGGTAATAAAAGTAATAATCTATTAAACTTACAGTGACATATCATTATTCTTGAAAGTATTACAACCCCTAAAGTTAAATTTATAGCGGTGTTTACAGTTAACGGTTAGTTCATATCTTTGATTTAAGAGGTGCGTCTTATTTTTAAATCTAATTATTTCAAATTTTTAATTAAAGCATAGATAGCAAGGGGCATATAGGGACTTACATGTACGGGATCTCTTGATTAATTTCCATTTAATAGTAGGTGTTTTATTCTTTTCTTTTAGACTCCAAAAATGCTTGGATAATGAAGTCTTGTACTTATAATTACTGCTATTAAAATATTGCATATGCCCCCGCCAACGTCCCTTGAATGAAGTCATGGGTAATTTTTAATTTTTAATTTCAAATTTTATCGTATAATTTAATATTTATTAGAATAAATTCTATTTTAGTCTAACCCCAACATTAAAGCATTACATAATTATTATAACCTTAGTTCGTTATCAAGTTTTTTGAATTGTATACTTGTATTTTGATTGGTCATTCAAGCATATGTAACAGCATTTCCACTTAGCGAGAGGTGTTTGATTGATATAAATTTTCTTCTTTGTTATTGGCAGCATTTTAGAATACTTTGGCTACAATGCTAAGTTTCCTAAGTTGAACAAGCTGGAGATAATTCGTTTACGCTTTATTACCCTCTCTTTTCTATTTTTGCTTTAAGAAACCTTTCTTCCAGTCATATACAGGATGTCCATAAAGTTCGTGTGCACTTTAAAAAATTATAACTTTATTTGTATTTGCGATAGAAATAATTTGTAAAGAGGATTAGAAAGAAGTAAATCTATATTTTTTAAGGTTTTATAGAAATTTTATTTAAGTTTCCATATGTCCTCCATCATTAGCAATACAAAGGGTAATATCATTTTGCAGTTCATGGAAAACATTTGCCAACTGATTTACAGTAATGCCGGAAATCACATTAGTTATTTTAGCTATACTTATATAAACTAAGTACATTAAATTTTATAACATCTTTTACAGATTATTTCTATCGCAAATACAAATAAAGTTATAAAAGTTTTAAAGTGCAAACGAACTTTATGAACACCCTGTATATATATATATATATATATATATATATATATATATATATATATATATATATATATATATATATATGCAAACTTACTGGAAAGCGCTCAATATACGTGATAGAGCTAACATATTTAGTTGTATTGATGTGAATTTGTGACCCTGGGTTTTACGCCCTTACGATCATTAGAAAAACCCTAATACTATCATTATCTATTTATGTATCTAACTGTGAATACAAGCCTTTGCTGTGAAACCACGAGAAGGATATTCCTGATATTGATGCTTAGCCCGGTCATTCACTGTTCCTCCGCCAGTCGTCCTGGATCTTGTAGGTGGATCTGAATAAAAAGAAAAATGAATTGGAATGCAAATAAAGGAATATATTAGCCTTGAAGAAAGGCTTTAATATTTCGATGCGTCAGCTTTAGTAAAACCTCGTCATAATGTTTGACAGAAATCACAATCGTTAATCGCAAATGTTACCAGTCCCGACCCTGTCACTGTTTTTACGTTCTATATTGGGATACCAGGACACGTGTAGCTTATGCTACCTGGCAACATTAATCTAATCACTTACATATCTGCACAATTTTTAATCTTTGTTGGTGTTAATTCCGTCAAATAAAAGGATCCAATCATGGCCTGCAGTCAGATTATTTCGTTAAAGTATACTTTAAAATATCTATGATTATTTTCCTTGCGACTTTTTCACCGTCTTTAAATGAGGACGATGAAGTCAGAAAAAAAAAACCGTACGTTCAGCTGACTGCCGATAAACTATCCCGAGGGGGGAAGAGGTATCCGATCAATAATTACTGATTTCGGATTAAGTCCCCCATTAACATGTCGGGATTTAAATATTGTGACAATGAAGGGATTAGTCAATCCTGTGTGTTTTGTTGATAAGGCAATGGACTATTTTATCATTAATAGATTAACGCGTATTCACAGGACCCAAACTAAAATAATGTTAACCTAATTGACTTGCGGGCATTTATCACATAATCTAAATATATCGTAATTTTAATCTGTTAAAGTAGATTTTAATCAACACCATTTAGCGACAATAGAAAAATAACTGAGTTATATTAGATTTTTTAAAATCGGTATCACCCCATGCAAGGCAGTAAAGCCACTAAGACAAAAAAATTCTGTTCCTAATTCTGTAGAAAAAAAATTCTGTTCCTAATTCTGTAGAATTAGGAACAGAATTTTTTTTACAGTCTAATTCCTACTTCCGGTTTTAGGTTATTATTTTGTTTCATGTTAATTAAATTCCTTATTGTTTTGAAGTAGATTAAATAGATTTTATATTAAGTTTAAATAAATTATTTTCAGCCATAGTCGTTATTGAGTTAGTAGATAGTATTATGCGATCAGTTTTATCAAGGTTGTTTATATTGTAAGACTAATCTTAATAATCTTACTTGTTTATAATAGTAGTAGTAATATTAATGGTTATGATTGTGGCAGTAATATGTTAGCAATACTTGAAGAAATTTGTTAGGGAACTTTCTTCATCGATCCGTTTTTTTAATTAAGACTTCCCCACTAAATTTGTCGAACAGTATAAATCATACTGTGTACAGCTTTTAGAAATATGATTTAGCTTATGAAAATGTCGTAATTTATATTCAAAATAAACATTAGTATTCATATTCTAAATAAACATCTATTAAACGACTGAATAACAATTTTACCCGAAAATCTGAGACTAAGTGTTCTTACTACTATAGGTTGATTCTTTCAAATACTTAGATTCTTTTATCACATCATTTCTGTCTCAGTGTGATGGGGATGATGGTAATTGGGTTCTTCTCATTCCTTGGACTACCACGTGTATGAATTTTCAGATTATTGGTTGGGGGTGGATTTGTTTTTTACGGCTTTTCAAACATTTCTAGGTTATTCAAAACTGAAACATATTTTGGATTGTAAGAATATTTTTTTTAAATATTTTGAGAGGAATATTGCATCTTTTGAAAATAAGTTTTTTTTTTTTTAGATACAGCTTCTATTATTTAAACCATAGCTGGGAGACAGCGATAAAACTTCAGAAATCGTAACAGTCAATTCTCTTAACATTATCATGCAAGGTCCATACCTGTTTCCAGAGCTTACATTTTCAGAATATTCAGTGTTTGATGGCGAGGTGTATTTTGCTTAGATAAAAATTAATACTTGACATTATTTTGTTTAAATGAATCGTCAATTTCCTGTTGAAAGCGCGAGCGCGCGCGCACACACATACATTCATTTATATATATATATATATATATATAAAATGAATGATCAATATTAAATATCAGAACAAAGTATAAAAGATAATTCGTGAAAACCAGTTGAATGCTTAATTTTTCTTATTATTAACATTTCATTCTGCATGATATATATATATATATATATATATATATATATATATATATAATATATAGGATGTGTGTATATATCTAACGAATGCACGGCCGCAATTTTCGACGGATTTGCACCAAAGTTTACATGCACATGCTCCAAGTTAGCGGGAAGGCCAAGACCGACTTTGCATTTCCAAACTCCCATGGAATTAATCGATTTGTTCATGCTTCTACGGCAGTTTTCATGTAGTTTGCAGCCATTTTCTACTGGCCAGAGTGAGAGCCTATAGCTGGCTTCCACGAATAGGCAAGAAGATTCTATTGGCCATCGTGAGAGCCAACAGCTGACTGACACGAATGTTAACTAGAATGCTAGCATGCAAAAAAAAAAAAAATCGATAGCTGCATTCGTCACAAGTGGGAAAAATTTAAATCTGCATGGCACTTTACTCCCATTGGCTCATTCGCTTGCTTAAACTCAACGTTGATTCTGATTCCGCAGAACTGGGTTCGGTGTGAAAAAGTATTTGTTGTTAACATTCTTTTTTCATTCGGTTTTTCCAGTTACGAGTACTTTTTTAAACCTGATCGTTTTGTGTTCATTTTGTTTAGTTCTTTTTCGTAACAGATTTAATGTTTAGTATAGAGCTTAGTAAAAATTCGCAGTGTGAGATAGGCAAGAAATAAGGCATGTAGCAACATCAGCACGGCAAAGGGCACTCCTTTAAAAGCAAGGAAGGGCAAAAATATTTTAAGTCAAGTGATAGCAGTTGCTGTATGAGTCATACGATTTTTGAATCAAGCACGGGCAACGCCGTCGCCATGCTGCTAGTATATATATATATATATATATATATATATATATATATATATATATATATATATTTTCTACAATTAAAATAATTACGACAGAAGAAAATACATATATACATACATACATACATACATACATACATACATATATATATATATATATATATATATATATATATATATATTTTATATATATATATATATAAATATATATGTGAAGAAACATCGACTTCGGTAAGCACTCAAGCGTTATATTCAATTACACTCACATATATGGCACGAGTTAAATTATTCCTAATATATATGTGTATTTGCACACATACATACCGATCTCTGGCTCTCACACGCACACATACACACATATATATATATATATATATATATATATATATATATATATATATATATATATATATATATATATATATATATACACATGGAGGCAGACTGAATTTCTTGTACACACCTAAAAAGCCATATACACAAGAAATAAGATTTTAAAAAAATCAGCATTTTTAAAAACTCAAAAAGCTTGGTTTAACATTTAAATTTGTTTCCATTCTTACCTCACCCGCAAGCGATCGTCAGCATCCCAAGAATAGCTGAGGGTTTCACGTGACTATGGTTTCACCTCTCACCTTCCCCTTCATACTTGCCTGCATTCCTCTTCCTTTTTCCCGCGCCCGTGACACGTTCGTCTTGAGGCTTGTATCTTTAAGAATGGGTTGTCAAACTTCTGGCAAAAATGGGATTGTGACAAAAGCGGAGGGAATGAATAAAAAGACCACCAGTTTTGAAAAAAAAAAGCGGACTGTACAAAACGAAAGAAAGAAAGGAAGAAAGAATGGAGGTGTAGTGAAGATTTTTGAGGAGGAATGGTAGGAAATAAAAAGGAAAAAAGGAATGAAAGAACTAAAGAGATAGAAGAGAATGTGTGAGAGTGAAAGAGAGAGAGAGAGAGAAAGTGAGATAGAGAGAAAAGACGCGAAGAATTAGAAAATGAGTGAGAATCGGAAGAATAAAAAGTTAAATAAGAAAGAAGAGAAAAGTAAGACAAAAATGTCTATAGAAAGAGAGAGAGAGAGTAGGAAATATACGTTCAGAAAGAAGCGTGAAGAGATAGATAGATAGATAGATAGATAGATAGATAGATAGATAGATAGATAGATAGATAGAGGGATAGATAGGGGGAGTGATGAAATGATTTTTAATAAAAGCGAATATATAGACAATTATTGAGAGAAAGCTAGAGAAAATAATCAGCAATCCAAATTGAAATTGAAAGATTTAAGAAAAACAAATAAACTTTCAAAATATGAATTTCTATTTTTCCCTCATCACTATACTATTTTCCTATTTTAATTACCATAAAAACACTAGAGTTCAGTCAATGTTAGAGAAATTTTAGAAATGTCATTAATACATGCGCAATCAACTGCAATACGACGTTAACAAGATTTATTTAAAGAATCCAAAATGAAGACTTGTTTGGTTGGCTGGTTGGTTTTGTTTAGTGGTATATCAACATCTGCATGGGTTATTTAATTCCGAAATCTATATATTTTGAATGCAATTTTATAGTTTCAACTAAATATATTTTGAACGCAATTGTACGCCTTAAAGACAACATGTATTGCTGGTCATTTTTCCTATAAAATGTACTGTTGGGTATTCTACTGAAAATATATATTGTTGGTAATTTTTTATAAAAAATTATTGCTGGTATTTTTACTATAAAAAAGGTAATTTTATACTTTCATTGTATTTTGTATTTGTTTGGAGCTTCACTGTTAACAAGTGCTACCATCATGGGTTAGGGTGGACCTGGGAATAACAGCAATTAAGAGGTGCTTCCACGCTTTTCGAACTTCCAATTTCCCAGTGTTCTTGCAGCCGGATGTAGTTTATAGTCATGCTCAGGACAACAAAACGAAGACCAGCGGAGGCTAGATCCTGGTTAGCTTTCAACAACTGAAATATGCTTCTGTATGTTTGGTGTGATTTTAAGAGGACTATTTTTGAATTGCTGGAATCTAAACACAACTGTAATTGTGAAACACTAAAGGGTAGCATATGTAACTAGAAGAAAACTTACGAATATAATCAAGCTGTTAATTTCCAACACGACCAAAAATAAAACGCTTTAAAGTTAATTCTCGACGTTATCAGAAAGAACAATAATATTTAGCTGACTTGAGAAATTTAATTTTATGAAAAAGAGTTATAAATTTTAATTGAGAGTAACATTAATTGTTCGGTCAATTCAATTCTGAATGTTTCCTTATAAGGAAACGGTTAATCCCACCATTGATATTATCGTTACTTCGCACGTCTCGTTGCTAGATATCTTGGGAAAAATATCTTCCGTCATTGATATACTCTGATCGATGACGATAAAAAGAGAAAGATTCTGAATGTGCTCACTACTTTAAACAATATTTATAAATTGGCGCTCCCTTTAATATTCGAAAGAAGAATAACAGTTAATGGACTTAAGAATTCTAATTTACTAACAAATTGTTTTAAGAGAGAGATTTTATAAATTTTATCCGAAAGTAGCCCTGGCTGCTTGGTAAATGAATGACAAATGTTTCTTGTATGGAAACTGTTAATTTCACTATTACCTTTAACATAGTGAATAGCGAACTCGTTTGTATGGATCACTGCAAAAGAAAATATATTTTCCTAAAAAAACAATAAAGCACTTCTCGGTTTTTGCAATCTCTTCGGCTTCTTTTTTCCATCTTCAAAAATTTAAATTCAATGTCAATCGTTATCTCTTCTTAATTCCTCTTCTTTCAATGTTTCCTCTCTTTTAATAACGTTTTTCTTATATTCTCTTACGCCTAGTAACCCCTTTGAGTCTTAGTGGCTTTATTGCTTTGGTTGGGATAAAATGATTAAAAAAATTAAAAAGAAGTGAACGGGTTCATTGCAAGAAAATGTAGTTTATCCTCAAGTTACACACGCGACGCAGCAAACGACTATGGAGATGATATGGACATTTTTCTACATACCGCATGTTCTTTAAATCCGTCTCCAGACAATCACTTTTTTTTCATTCTATGTAGACATACTTTCTCCAGTCAGCTTTTCAAAATAACAGTTTTCAGATAACAATAACTCTTTGAAGAATTCGTTAAATCAAAAGAAGAATATGCAATTTAAATGAAACCTGCCATGAAGCTGATAGAAAGAAAATGGTTAAAATTCTTTGACGATTGAATGACGATGCTATGAATTAATATAAAGAAAACAGTTTGGCAAAAAATACATTCACCTCAGCATACTATATAGATATTTACTTTTGTCACTTCATAAATCGCTTTGATACTTTCTCTTTGAATCTTAGTCTAACGTGTAACATTTTATTTTGCAATGCTATAAAAAGATACATTCAATAAAATCTCGATATGAATACGAAATTCTTCGAATACTTTTTCATGAATAGTAACTCAAGAATATGTCTGCCCAAAGTGTAAATAACTTAAATGAAAAAGTGCAAGAATAAAAATAACAATAGTTTATTGAAATTAGGAATTCAGTACACATTCCATTCAAAACACTTAGATTATTTGGACCATATATTTTCTTACCGATAGCATTGTACTTATTACCGTTGTCTATAGAATCGGCATATGTATTCACACATTAAGTTTCAGAAATTAATACCGGAAATATGACTAATGCATTTGAATAATCGAAGAATATATATATATATATATATATATATATATATATATATATATATATATATATGTATGTATGTATGTATGTATGTGTGTGTGTGTGTGTGTGTGTGTGTGTGTGTGTGTGTGTATATTAGTGTGTAGTACGCCAGATATTTGAGAACGCATATTTATCGGGTGATAAATGAAAGAATATCTGAACTAATTTCAAACAATGTGAATCAAATTTTAACATTCTCATTTCTCTATTTCTGACGTATCGAGTGCATTAACATGGGAGCTGTCAATCTGATACAAATACAATTAGACGCACATTCGGTGATAGCCAGCGTCTTGAAAATGGCCAGGTGAATAAGAGGAGGACAGGTGGCTCAGCATGTATCCTCAGGATGTACCCATGATAAGGCACATCAAGTTAACATCGACTTTAATGGTTCTGGGATTCGTGGGCAACAAGTATCGTAATGCCCCCCCCCGCTTCAAGGCTTCCTGTAGTTCCTCAGAATCAATTCCACCTCCTATATCGAAATGCTAGGCACTGTAGTCAAGCTCTGGAATGATGAGGTACCTGTTTGCATTCCGGCTAGTTTCTGTTTCCTTTCAAAAGTCGGAAATATAATGTGATCAGTCTTGACTTGAGGTCTCGACACCAGTCTCTTTCTCACTGACGTAATGTGACTTTCTTCTGTTTTTTTTCTATAAATATTTTTATGGCATCTGCTCTGACGAGCTATTTTCACTGGTACTCCGACTGCATGAATTTAAGCGTGCTACTAGGTTGGCATCTCGGTCCCACTCATTTACTGTCAAATCAGTTAAATGTAACCGCCTCTTCTACTCAAATAACTTCTTCCTTCGCACTTCCCGACAGTGGAACTCCCTATCTCTTACTTGCTTCCCTGATATCTATAATCTTCAAAAAATTTAAATGTAATATCAATCGACATATTCTGTTGACTTGATTCCCGTTCTTCTTTGTATCCTTTGCTCACGCCCTCCCCAATACTCAGTGTTTTCTCTTACACTCTCTGTAGCCCTTGCGTACTAGTGGCACTCCTGCCTTACTTGGGGTGAATTGCTTGAAAAAAAGAGAAAATAAAAACTTGGTCCACGTGACTCAGAGATGGTTGGCCACGAATTTTTAAAATCACGTTTCTCCCATATACGGTCTATTTGCTCTCCTTATCTGATTTCAATGGAATGTTAAAAATAAAGCTAGATAAACATTGCAATTTGGGACTAACTATTACACAAATTATTAATCTGTAAATATCCGTTGATTAATCACAGTTTACTATACATAATGATCGACAAATCAGAACTTATCAATTTCAACGTGTACTTTGTTATTGAAAGTCGGGTTTGTACAGATTTTCGCAATGACAATAACAAAGGAATTCACGCTAGGCGTTAATTCATAGACGTGGAATGGGACACCGAAAGATTTACGAGCTCAAGATTTCCATTAAAGCAATCGTTTGAACATAGAAGAAACATAGTCTGAAATCTGCCTTGAAAAGGATATTGTCGTAAAGTAAGTGAGAAAGCAGCTGGGAACCAATTGTCGAAAAGTGATGCACCACTCATTCACATCCCGAGGAGAATTTCAAAAGGATATGCAAGCAGCTGGTGCAGAAGTGGGCAAAGATACAATTCATCTGAATTTTCGGATTCATGGAAACACCAGGCATGAGATGTTATGTTTGCAGTTTTCACGTCATCATCCCTAGATATCAACTCGTTATGGGGCAAAATATCATGAACTGATAAGACGAAAATTAACCTTTTTGATAAAAACATTTCGAAACACATCTAAAACAAGAAATTTCATATATTCCATCCCAAAAGTTCAAAACAGCGGTAGAAATATTTAATTTTTTCTGATGCGCTTACAAACATCGAGATATGTACCACGAAATAAAGATGATGCTTATATCTGTGCAATTTCTCATTATTACAATTACTGCATGATCAGATTTTTAAGCAAGACAACGATCCCAATCATAGTACAATTATAAGGAACGATTGATTCCACTTTAAAATAAAGTGTGTTAGTGTGATCTGATCTACTAACCAGACCATTCTAAAATTCTTATTTTCTAATCTAAATCTCATAGAAAGTCTTTGGAAGAGGCATGAAATTCGAGTTCATCAGAGAAAACATCAAACAGGAGTTAAATATAATTCGTGTTGATTTCTCTAACAAAACAAAACATCAAATTATTCCAAATGTTCGACAGCCTTCATATCAAATAATGGATACGCTATTAAATATACAATGCTGTTTATTAATGTTTCTTTCTAAGCCATCATTTTATATGTCCATTCTACAGACGGCTACATTGAGTTTGAGTGGCTATTCGGTCACAACCAGTCATTAGGCTTTAAATACACAGATCATTCAGTGATGATACTTTTAACAAGCAATTTTTGTGCTTGAAGCTTTTTAAAGTGAGGAAAAGCTTTACAATCCAACTCTCCAAACAACGACAGCATTTACACAAAAAAGGAAACTACAGCATTGGAGGTAATTGTAAGTCATAGGTTTTATATCAGAGTGCGTTCTTTGAGATGTATAAGTTAAAACCGACTAGGGGCTCATCGCTCCCAGTGATCTAAGTAAACCACGGTTTTCCATATCCATATCAATTTGACCCATAAATGGTCCCAACAGTCAGAGTAGACATAACATTAACGAAGGGCTAAAGCCATATTCCCTAGATCGCCATTTTAGGTCACGCCTATATATATATGGGTATGACATTAAATTTCCTCTGCTACAGATCTACCTTCACTCATATGTAATCAAGAACTGTTATGTTAAAATAGTAAATAATCATTGGCATTTAATGAAAGAATACTACTAAACTTATAAATATATATATATATATATATATATATATATATATATATATATATATATATATATATATATATATATATATTAGTGGTAAATATACATATACATATGCAAAATATATAAATATATATACATACATGCATACACATACATATACATTTTTTTAATAAAAAATTCCAAGAGGATAGAATCCAGGTAGAACTCAATGTCCAGGACAGAGTAAGGATATAATAAAAAGGCTTAAACACTGATATTCCATGGTCATAATTTATTCCATTGGAATCGTAAATATGATCCAATTCATCAGACCTACAAATTCAAAAAGAAAACAGAAAAAACAACTCCGGAAATAAAAAAAAATAGAATTTAGAGAGAGTGCAAGTATGAGAGTGTGGGACGAATGTTAGAGCTAAAGAGAGGGGTAACAGACGAGAGAAGGTGGGAGATTAAAACTTAACAGAGAGAAGTTTTAGAGAGGTGAGTCGAAGACGGTTTAAGTGAGAGAAATATAAATGTTGTCGGATGTCTAATACATTAAAGATGTAACCGGAAAGGATACATTTTGTGGTGACATACACATACAATAAATATATATATATCGGACCGCTACTTAAATTTTAGTCTACTGCAATCTTCACTGTTCTGACAACCTGCACGCTACCGCGATCATCAGGCTGTCAGAACGCACGAAGATTGCAGTAGCATGAAACTTAAGGAGCAATCCAAACTAATTCTGTGGCGTAACGCTCGGTAGCATATTTGCTCACTCTTGGTAACCTAAAGCACTGTATGTTACTGTTTAGGTAGATGACAACTTTTGAG